GGCTCTGACTGCTCTGAGTGTTTGACTTTGCAACACAAATTATTTTCTTTCGGTGCAAGGTTTTATGGGTAATAGAAATGATGATATGCATAAACGCGTGTATAGTTGTAACTTGGGGCACAGGATGGGCAGGACAATGACACGTGGGTAGAAGAACCTTTCTTGCAAGCCAAAGATGCCACCCCGAAAGTGGTGGTTCTGCACGTGTAGAGTGGGCATGGCTAGAGGGAGCCAGGGGAAGAGTGGTGCCCGGGCACAGTGACTACGGATCCATGCCTTCCATCCTGCAGCTGCAATAGGTGGGGGGGTATTAGGAAACCCTCACTCGAGGACTCTGCTGCAGGCGCTGCAGGGTTTGTTGCTGCAAGTGCAGGATGATAGGATGCCACACTGGGCAGAGCAGGAGGAGGCAAAGACAGGGTTGTGACTCAAATCAAATATACCCTTTGCAAAACCTGGCAGCACAAGAAACATTGACCTGCAGTTTGATTTTGCAGCCATATAGCTCTTCAGTTTGCTCTTCAGTTGAAGTGGTCACTATGCTACTCCCCCGTCATGTCCATCACGCGGAGGGTCTGCCTAAGCAGGGATGCAGAAGGAAGGCAGCTGAAACCCCGGCACTGTGCCGAGCGGGTTTGCGAGGCGGTGTACTCACTGGAGCTGCTGTTTGTGCGGCGTGCCGGTTTCGTGTGCTGCTTTTCAGGCACAGTGGGGTGTGCTGAGCCAACAAACAGTGTGAATGCTGTCACCGCAAGTCCAAGCTGACACTCCATTCACCCAACACAATCTACCTGGACTGCAAATAGCCAAAACAATTTGGAAGCGCTTCTGGTCTTGAGCACTGAATTTTTCCTTCTCCTGGGACATTTAGGCTTTTGATTTAGACACCCTGACAAATATTTAAATGGTTCTAAAGAAAAGCAAGTTTTAAAGAGGTGTTTCTCTTTGGTGTTCCTTTTTGGGTACTGTGGGGCCCTATTTGTTGCAGCCTTACCTCCTCTGCTGCCCAGGCTGTCCCCCGGTGGCACCAGCAAGCCCAGATACAGAAACCAGTGCCATGTTTCACAGCTTCTCTGTCATTTTGGGATACACGTGCCCAGAAGCCGCTGGTCACCAAGTGTTCCTGACATTTGAGATTATCCCCGTAGACCAGATTGGAAGAGAGCGGTCCCTTCTGCATATTATGTGCTTAACACACAGGCTGGCCTCTCCTCCCTCCCCAGCCATACGATCCTCCAAGGATACACCAGGAAAAAAGTGTTAGAAAGGACTTGTGAGGATGTCCCTCGTAACCATCTGACCTGTTTATGGGCTGTGGCTTGGCTAGACAGGGTATGTATGCTAAACCCTCTGAAAAATTCACATTCCCATGGAAAGATTTGTGCAACAAGGCAGTTCCTGTCCTCTGATGGGCTATGTGGAAAGAGATTAAAATGCAATTTCTGTAACTAGTATAAATAACAGAATATGTTGTTCTAAGCCAAAAATATACAGTAGGTTTTTTTCCTAACTTTACATTGTGATGATTCATGTAAAGAAATAACATCGGAATGTTGCAAACTTTAGAAAGCCACAGAGGTAAGAAATAAATTTTCTTAGATCTGCATGCATGCATTTATCAGACCCTGCCATCCTCCTAACCCTTTTGTTCCGTGCCCAGTTCAGCTTTGCACTGTTTTTGAGTGTTGGTGAACCTGCACGGCCGGGCTGGGCAGCTGCCTCCAGGCAGGCACTGAGAAGCGTGCAATTCGCCGTGCTCCAGCAGGAGCTGGGTGCTGGGAGCCACGCACAAGTGACTGGGCTGTAGCTCAGCAGCCACCCAGTCAGAGAGCTGCAAGAAAAAGCAAACAACAACAACTGGGACGCATTTCAATTGAGAATTTTTGTGATCTAGATGTTTTTCGTTTAAACCATCATTTGAGCAAGTCTTGCTGGCATAGTTTGGAGCTGGAGAGGGAGTCGCTGGTCTGCTCGTGTCCTTAAGGTTTGGGTATAGCCTGGCTAATCGTAGCAGGTGGGAGAAGGGAATTCCAAGGAGATTGGTGGCCCTTTTCACAGAGTAAGCATTTTCCACAGGCGGTTCCTGCTGTGGATGAGAGCACTGTTGGCTGATGCAATTTCTCCAGACTTGAGCCAAAATGACTGTAAGACCCGGAGCTGCTGTGAGCTGTGGCTCCAAGTGATGCCTCGACAGCACCCGATGCAGTGCTTGCAGTGGGCAGGGCAAGCACTGGTGAAACCCTGACGTAACTTCAGGCTGTTTCAGGCAGTTCCCACTCCGCTGTTGCCAGATGTCCCCTTAGTATCTGCAAGCAGGAGTTTTTTCCATAGTGGGCAAACTCCACAGAACTCAGCTGGAGTGAAGGGGATACTCACCTAAACTGTAAATTACCAAAAAAAAGCGCGTGTGCGTCGGTTCGCTGACGGCAGCAGTACAAAGAAGGCAGTTTGCCCTCAGGGTGTTTGTCTCTGCTTTCTTTCTGTGCCTTATGTATTTGTCCTTTGAACTGTTGTGAACACCTGGACATAGCAGGATGCCAGTATTCCATATCCAAATTATAGAGCGCTATTAGAAGCACTTTGTAAAGCTGTAATTTTGTCAGTTGCTTAATTTGGGATTTCTGGGATAGAGTTATAGCAATTTAACATTTTGTATTCTTCTACCAGTTTTGATCATCTCATCGCTGCTGCTCACAAGTGGATGTTTGGCATCTCGCCCTGGCTAACTACAAACTCTCCAATTATTGAAAAGGTAGCTTGTCTCTGATCTATTGCAATAGACAGATATTTCAACTTTTCTTGTTATTTTTCTTTAATTTTCATCTATGGAACATACATGCACTTCTCCCACACATGCATCCTGTCCAGTGATAGGGTGTGACAAATTCTGTAGTTTATTTTTTAATAGCAAAATTATTTTCACCTGGACTTTTTCTGAAGCATTAATGTCTTCTTTCAGGTTTGTCAAATACCATGAACTTTGACTTAAAACTTCTCTGACATGGGGGATTGCCTCTGCACAGGAAACTTTGTGCTCACGCTGGCATTAAAGGCAAAGTGATGGAAAATTTGCATGTAGAAAGTTGACGTTATTTAAGAAACAGACTTGCGCTGCAGTGTGCACTTTGAGGAATATTTTTTTCCTTTTGTAACCTTTCCGACGATATTCTACTCATGATTAATGACCTTTCCCAAAGTCAGTGGTGAAAATTGGAAAACCAAGCAGCAGCATTTAATGTCCTTGGAATGAGTAGCAAAACAAAGCACTCCATATAAAAGAGTATACTTGTAATTTTTAAGGAAGCACTTGCTAAGAAATTGACAGGAGCAGAAAAAGTTCAGCCAAAATATCTGATGAATTTTAAATAAGAAATTTCTGTGCTTGTTACTGTAGCGTGTGACCGATTGCTTCAGCTGGTCTTTGTTACAGAATAAGCAAAAAGCTAGCAAACGTGACAGCCTTCTTTACAAACAGCTCCTTGGGCATCCCTAGAGATACAGAGCACTTTTACACATTTAACCTCAGCCTAATCTTGATCTTCTTCTTTTGTTGATTTAAGGAAAACCTCAAAAAATGTTTCTATCCTCAACACCTCCACTAGGTTTTCATCACCTAAGAGTCTTCCATGCCGCAGGTTCCCTGTTTTCCATCCTCTTTTGATTTGAAGAGGGTTCTTTTGGGAGCGCAGGGATAGGACAGAGCCTGAGCTCCTTTCCTGCTCCGTGGCACCTTTTGCTGGCCCTGGTGAAGGGAAAAGCCCAGCTTACACCTGCAGCTGGTGTTTTGCCTTCTTGCCTGTAGATACAGCAAATTTTCCTTTTTACAGGAAAGCTGATTTCACCACAATCAGCAACAACCTCAAGGATGGGGGGGTGGAGAATCCACAGGTTGCCATAGGTAACAGTGTGGGGGCTGCTATGGGGACTGAGGTTTGCTGTTCAAGCGACTTCCGGGGGAGGCATGAGCCTCAGGGCTGGGGGACCACTTTGGAGCCCACCAGCCATAGCTGTTACACACACCCATGCTAAGAAAGCTCCTTCTTCAGCAAACTCGAGCTGTTTTACTGCTATTCTGGGGAACGGTATTGGGCACATGGCCAAACCACCTTGTTCAGGCTGTTTCTCATTATCGCCCTGGGTGTCACACTGGAGGGCTGCAGCCATGCATGGCGATGGGAGGCCGGTCTCCTGTCGGATCAGGCTTGCTGGACAGCCTCTACAGTCCCACTGCACCAAGGACAATGTAAAAATGGATCCTTAGAGAGCTGTCCTCCCCCTCTCTGGCCTAAGCAAGTCTTTTTACTTGGCCTGCAGCTCCATTGACTAAATAAGACCAGCAAGGTCAGGTTAATAAACTAGACTTTTTCCTTTTTAACTCAAAACCTCTCACTTATTAATTTTATGCCCCAAATTATGTGTTATTTGTTTTCTTATTTATCTCACAGATAATAAGGTTCCAAGGACTGCAGTACAGCAAGGATCAGTAATCATTTGTTGAAGTGGATATCATTCTTCAGCGAAGACAGAAACCATTTTCATTGCTTCCCAGCCACAGCACATTACAGGCTGTGTTGCCCTTGACTGCTGCAAGAGGCAGCACCCAAACCTTATCCAGTCTGAACACGACACGACACAGGAGCATCACCCTTGAATGGGAAACATCACCAGGGCTGGACAATTACCTGCTTGGACAGAGGCTCTGAGAAGAAGACCCTGGGTACCAGAGGTGCCGTGAACAGAGTGCACCCAGCTTGGGAAGTAGGATGTGGTGGAGGGCAAATACAGAGACAGACACACCTGCCCTTCGGTGCATCCCCTTCTTTGCAAAGGCACAAGCAGAAGTTGCTCTTCTGAAGTATTTTGAAGAGCTGTTGGACTAAAAGCAGAGATGGGGATACCAACTCAACCCCACTGCACCATTCTTTTATGAGTGTGCTCTAGAAAAGCCATCGTCCCAACCCAGCACTGATGAGACCACAGGAGGCCACACAGAGCAGTACTCGAAAAACTAAAGCAGCATCTTTATTTTATACATAGCCGTTAGTATAAAAAGTTTATTACATAAGAGCTGTTCTGTTTACAATATATTATATTGCTTCAAGCTGATGCAGAAAGTTCATACATTATAGTTCTACTTTGTTCACAATATATTATGTTGGTTAAATGGCACCACTGCAGTGTATTTTTAATACACAGTACTCTGCAAAACTGTAAAGCCAAAAATAACACTGAATTGAGTTACTCAGTTTTTAAATTAGGCAACTTATTTATTTTATGTAGTTTTCCTAGGGAAAAGCCTAAATGCACAATGACTAAAATGTAAAAGGCTCCTTTCCTTTGTCTCAGGCAAATTAAATCTGTAGCCATTGAAATGATTCAGGTTAGCATCTATGAGGATTTCTGCTTGAATACTGTTACTTAATTTTTGGAAAATATTTGCAGCTATATAATCAAAAAAGGAAGTTTAAACACAACTGAAGTATAGTACCAAATACCATCCAAAGCACTGAAACAAGCAGCCTATATAATCATGCTATAGAAGTATTTATAAAACTTAAAAGGAATAGTAAATATCAGCTCAGTGGCTTATAATGAAGCTAATAAAATTCCAGCCAGTAATCTTAACTGTAATGAACAGCGTTCTAACATTCAATCCACGAGAGGTTAATGAAGGCTATGAACTCTGTGTAACACGAACCGTTTCACATGTTGGAGTTCACCAGATATAATTGGATTCAGGTGGAACATGCCTCTCCTCGGCCTTTTTCCGCGAAGGTGTGTGCTGCCTGCGCTTGCTGCCGGCTGGCCTCAGGGCGCTCAGACTGCTGGCTCCATACCCTGGAAAATTATCCAATTCAAGAGAAAAGAAACCACAGAAGTGGGCTCACGATCCACTGCTAATATTTCAAGTGGAAACAGTCCCCGCCGTTTGAACAAAGGATTTTGCTGCACCTTACGCAAGCGCTCGCTCCTCTCTGTGCCCCCCAGGATGGATGAGGTGCTGCCAGAGGGGCTTCATCACCCAGAGATGCTCTCGCCTTGCCCGGGAGCCCAGGGGACCATCAGCGCGCCCAGGCTGTCACTCAGCCCTGGGTTCACGCCTGCACAGCCCACGCCGGGTGGGTGAGAGTCATGCCGATCTGCCGGCGAGGGGCTCTGAAGAGCGGCGTAAGCATCCCCCCGGGGACAATCTGCGCCAGCTACCTGAGCTTGGCTTCGGTTTATGGCTGAATGCAAAGAGAAAGAACAGCAGCGACAATAAACACCTAGGGGGGGAAAAAAAGCAGTCTGAAATAGGCTTAGCAGAACTGCTTTGTTGTGGAAATGAAAATGAGCAATAAACATGGGATTCAAAGTATTGTGTTGTAATTATTTATGGTTTCATTTACCCATCTCATTACTTCTAGCTCATGGAAATGACATTGAAAAACTGAGTCCCAGGTCCAATTCTTTTTAACCAATTCTTTTTAAGAAAACAGCTTTACCAAGGAGCCATTGATTTGACAGAGTATGAAGCAAGTCTCTCAAATTAACTATAAATCTCCTCTCAAGATCAGGAGATGTTTGGTTTTAGTGGAAAAGAGTGAATTGCAGTGCACGCAGACTTGTATGTGCAATTTAAGCCCTACATGGGCCTTTAAAATGGGGGTGAATTTTACCCAAAAGGCCTGTTCTCAGTTTCTTTACTGAATACAAAGAGAGTTTTGCAGTGCTAAACACAGCAGGACTGTACTCAAGTAATTAAGGATGGAAACCCGTGGAACTGACAATAATGTGTGACTATTGACTCCACACAAGATGGTAGTTAGGAGTTTTGGTGTTATTGTACAGGCAATTACTTCTTTGGAGATGGTCATCCATACTGCGTATTTTTTTTAAATTCCTGAGTTCTTCATAAGAAGAGTATGACAAGAAGAAAAAGTTCATACTGAATTTATGAGGTTCATATTGATTTCCATTTTTTCTAACCATAACTTATATTACTGGTATTTCTTCTTCGGGGAATGACATAAATACTTAAAGACAGGTCAACGAGCTAACACCAGAAAAATGGACTCCCCAGACCTAATTTTCACAGCATAATCCATTTCAGTTAGATAATACTTTTTTTTAATGAAACAACTATATTTATTCTAATATATTTAATGCGATACAAATCAGGCATCATCAGCATTTAACAAAAATGATCATTCAGTTGATGCTGCAATGTAAGGTTCACATTTCTTATGGCTAACTGGTGGGTTTTATAGCTGCAGACTCTTTCAACTTTTTTATCATTGCCACTTAAAACATTAAAGTGAAATTAATGCTAACAATGTTTAAGCTAAACATTAGTATCTCACAGGAGAATGTACAGAATGTCTCTTGAACATGCGCCATCACAGCACTATTGTGCATGAAACATAAAAGTAAATTTGAAGGTATTACTGGATATATCCAATTGTATTTTGAATAATTTTATAGTGCTATTTTAAATCCAGTGAAATAACCAATTGCCTCATTGGATGTTAAATAGGTCAATAAGCACAACAGAAATTCATTTTAAGAACTCTAACTTTGCTTTGGGACAATATCTTTTGTGGTCTGTGGAGCACGAGTGGGGAAGAAGAGAAGAAAACTTGAAATCAGTAAGCATAGATCTTGCATAACTCTTCAAGTTTTCCTCAAAGTTTCTAAAGGACATTTAATTTTTTCTAAATTTTAATCAGCTTTAAAACCTGACAGAGTTTTATTTCTGAAAATGCCTCCCCAACCTTTCAAAGCCAGCTGACATTACGGAGGAGTACTGAAGGACTTTAGATCCCTCCCATACCGTGGGTGGAAGACACATGAGATCATCTAGAAATCTGGCTGATACCAGATTCTGGAATTTCTAATACAAAGGTGATCTTGGTAAAACACTTTTAAATGACTCTGAGGGTTTTTTAAGTCATTAAGATTATGAAGTATTGAAAATCTTTGTTTCATTGTTTGGATTAAAGACTAGAAAAAATGGTGCTTTGGCATCATTAACGAGGCTGGAAAGACTCTCCAAGCAGTTGTTTCTGTACGGCGTAGGGTGCGTAAGACCCCCGATACGGACTCTCAGGGCTTGTTTCTCACTTACTCTTATTGCAGTGTCTCCCGTGCCAGCCGTCTTTGCACTGGCATTTGTTGGGCTCAGTGCAGGTACCGTACGGGCCACAGCCGGGTTCGCAGACAGCTGTAAGAAAGCGAGCGCACATGCCTGACTCTTGCCATTCCATCCACAGAGATGCATATTCCCCTTCCCTGCTGTTGTTCCTCACAAGGGGATCCTACCACGGGCTGGGGCTCTCGCAGTAAATCTGTGACTTTGCGCCGAGTGTGAGCTGAGCTCCCAAACGTTTCACCCCCCACTCCCCTGCAAGGTCTGGCTCAGTCTCCAGCAGAGAGACGTAGATGGAACGGCAGAGCTAAGCGTACACCAGAACCAGCGGGAGAGGAGGGTAGCCCCCAGCATCCCTCTCACAAAGTGCTCCCATTGGACTTTGTTGCTGTGTGTTGACATTTTAAGTATTTTTCTATTACCAAACTGCTATTACTAAGCTGACACTTGGCTGTTTTACAGAAACTCAGAGTACAGAAGAAACTGTGGGGAGACTTTTGTAAAAAGTCTGGTGTATGCTGTATGTCCAGGAAGTAAATTAACCTGAAATAATTTGACAACGAACATTTAGTGCTGACAGTAAAAAGATACTGTACAGTCAGCTTGATGCTCCTATAACAAGGACTGAGGGAGTGGCTTTGGTACTTACGCTTTGAACACAGGTCTCCCTGGTAGCCTTTGGAGCACTTGCATTTATTCTTACCGGTACATTTGCCTCCATTTCGACAGGGCTGGTGGCATTTACCTAGAAATCGAAAGCACAAAAACAATGGTCTTCTTCCCTTGCACCTCCTGGGGACAAGTGTCTGAGAAGGCTGCCTTCTATCCGAAAAACTCATCGGATGCTGGCACAGGAACGTGCATGGTGGATCTGTCAGGATGACTCTGCTGCAAGTCTGTGCTTCCAACTTACACGCATTCTTCTGCTTTGAAAATACGACAATAATTTGGCACGGACAAATCCCATGTGTCCGTGCAACTTTTACCCAAACTTGTGCCACTCGTACTGCGCAGAGTCCCCCGTGCCACTGGTCAGCACTGCCTCTTGCTCTCCTCACCCTTTGTGGGGAAGGCAGCAGTGTCCGGACTTCGTGTTTGCAAAGAGTGGGATCCATACCCGGGGGGCACAAGCAGAAGAAAATCTGGTGGTGTCCAAGAGAGATTTTAAGCCCTAGGAAGCTCAGGACCTGACAGGTATGGCCGCTAATTGCAGAGAATAAATAGATGGGCTGGGCCTGTCAGCTTGTGGCTGTGGAGCACCACGATGCTGTGGATGGTGCAATGAGGACTGTTTCACCCCACGGCTCAGAAACTTAACAGCGCATTAAAAAAGCATGCCCTTATTGCCTGTTTGCAAAGAACAGAGCATCTCTGGTAACAGAAATTAGAACTGGCAGATATTTTTCAAGGCTTTCGGTCCAGAAATTACTTTCCTTCACATTCATGTTTTGCCAGAGGAATAGGCTGGGTCTGATGGCGCTGTTTGGCCCTGACCCACCTTGGAGAGAGGAGGTCCACCTTGGTGGAGGAGATCCACATTGAAGTTCCTGTGGGGTCTGACTCAAACTTTGTGTCAAGTCTCACATCACCAGACTGCCAATCCCTTATTAGAATTTGTCTGCGTTATTGCACTAATTAAATCTTCACTTGTCTCTAGGAAAGGTGAGCACAGTGCCCATGAGCTAGGGCGATTCCCAGGCGATTCCACCCCTCACCGAAGGACGCTCACTGTCACGTCCCTGGGGAACTCTCAAGCCATCAGGAGCTACACCCTCAACCTCTTGCCTCCTTGGCGGCCATATGTACCTGTCCAGCTTTCCTCACTGTCATTCAGAACCTTTTTTAATCTTTTCTAACCCCACAACATTTTCTGGATTCTTCAGAAAAGAGAAAAAAGAGCGCTTCCTAGATTTAGCACTAATATTTACCTGAATCTGTGAGCAAATAAAAACTGGACCTGGGGCAGCAAACCGCTTCCTCTCCTTTCCCTTTTTATTCAAAAGGATGTTAACTGAGACCTGCACATGACAATTTAAGCGCCAACACTCACTCCTTCCGCTGCTGGCTTGCTGAAAATCTCAGCAAAGGCACTCATCTGATGACCACAGCCTGCCCCCTTGGAAGCTCCATACCTCAGGCAGCGCTTGCTCAGCTCTCAACCCCATCGGACTTCTGCGATGCGTGTGTGTATCGTCAATATAAAAGAAATGTTTGTTCCTAATGTGCATAATTATTTTAATAGCTCTGAAACAAGCTTCATAACCAGCCGATGGAACAAAGCACGCTAAGGAGAGTTTCTGCAAAAGCACAATTGGATCTGAAGTAATTAATGACCAAAAGGAGCAATGTTAAGCAAATCCAAGGATTCTGCTAGTTCTTGAGGTAAATCTGGAGAATATGGGTCAAGGGGTGTGACACCAACTTGCACAGAGTTGCACTAGGCAAATATTTGGCTCAGCACAGCTTAATTAACTTTGGACTAAGATATTTTCACAGAATGCAGGGAAAAGTAATAACTTTCTCTGTTATTGACTGAGAAATGGAAAAAGCAACAAAACAGTTGTGACAAACGGAGGAGGAATTCAAAACAAAATAAAACTCTCTGGGCTCAAACTGAAACACTAATTAGAGACAATGCATAACTAGAGATAGAAAAAATCTGGAAGACTGTGAATGCTTGTTAGTGTTGTAGATTGGGTCCAGTACATTTCCCAGGAGTCTCAGAGAGTGATTCAACTATTCAAGCACTCAAAATCTTTAAATAATAATAAAAAAGAACTTTGCAGTTTTCAGAAGATGGCTTTCTGCCTGTTGAAAGGTTTTCTCCCCTTGTTATTTCAAGACTCCCATGACTGAATGTAGCTGGCCCTGGATCTAAGAAAAGAGACTGAGTTGTGTTTCTCCTCTGGTGTTTCTAAGTCTTGTCTAGTATTTCTTGCAGTCTTCCACTGTTGTGCTGGCACTGGTGCAGTGCCCAGAGGTGGTAGCAGCCATCAATCATGGTCCAACAACTGCGGTTTCAGCTTTACAAAAGCCAAGGCAAGTGCATAGCTTTCCTCATGCTCATCAGTATGATCCCAGTTCAGCTCTCAGCATACTCTGATCCTGATTTTTTTTTCCCTTATTTTGTACAGAAACTAGTTTACTGCCTGTATATTAATTAATTTAATTTGAGTTGCACAGGTAAGCCTTTGCAAGAAACCAAAGTCAGTTGTACCGATCCCAAGTAGCAGCAGACAACAATGAGCTTAAGAGCCCCTAGGACAGACTAGTTAAATGGAACACCTTTAATTATACATGCTGTAATATCAGTTCAAGGAATTCTCCTCAAAAAACCACCACTGACATAAATTACGTGTTTCTCAAACTTTGAACCAAACCTTATTCATCATCTCAGAAGTATCAGCAGTTGACTTCTTGGGGACTGAAGAAACAAATGAGGTTCCGTCAGAGTGTCAAATTTGAACTTTGTAGAAGCAAAGGTAAATTCAGTGGAAGTCCACACTGTTGTTCTTGCTGACATCTGATCTGAATTTATATCAAAGGGCAATCTTTATTAAATTAATAACAATAAAAATTTACTGCTTCCATTTGACTTCAGTTTTGATCAGCTAAAAAGGAGCTGCAAAATGCCTTGTAATGTACAGTGAAAAATTTACATATGTCTACTGTTTATCTACAGGTAAACACTGTGAAAAATGTAGGTCTTACACTATCTGTGTTCTTCCTTTGCACAGTAATTAATTTATTGTCCTGTATTGGCATTAGAGTTTATTTCCATGTGTTTTCAAATTATTCGATGATACAAATTTCACAACTGTGAGAAGAACCTGTCTCTGCTGACGCATATTAGGAAATCAGCTCTTACTGGCTCTCCCAGGCCACACGCTGCTCTCTGTGCTCCTGTGAAAGCACTGGGGAACATCAGTGAGATTATTTACAGCAGAGGACGCTCCTCATGCTCCTGCTATTAGAAGCTTTTAGCCCAGAAAGAACGACCTGGGTGTATGTTCTGAGAACCAAAACGCTCATACTCTATTCAAGTGTGGGGAACTATAGAAATAATCCAATTTAACGGAGCTACGAGAAAACTCTTCTTCTAGTGAGACCAAATACTTAACAGCTGACCTCCCAGGTCTGTTCCAGCCTGGCCGTACCTCCACCCCCAGCTTTACACAGCACACTTAGATCAACCATAAGCCAAAATATTTTTAATTGCTTTGATGCTGAACTTCTGAAAATAGCAAGTCTTTTTATGTCTGTGACATGGATTTTCAAGTTGCCATGTGAATGCAACTTCACACATTAAGCAAAAGCTGTCAGCTCTTACGGTTCAGTCCTCCCTTTACTCTAAACCCTTCCATTCCCAGCTTACAGGAGCCCTTTCAGAGGTGTGGGCTCAAACCTGATCTGCTGTGCACAAGTACAAATTGCTGTAACTTTTGAAAATAGCTGCTCCACATGGGCTTGGCACTGCAGCACACCCATCTGCCACAGAGGACTGCTTGCATACTTCTGGCTTGAGATTTGTTACCACAACCAGTTACTAGTAAAAACATAATAAGGCAGGGGATGAGTTGGTCTAGCATTGAGTCAAACTTATCGGTAGGAAACTCGTTCGAAAGCATGGGGCTCTCCAAGGGCCCCAACCTGCCACGTGAGACCCTTGCTGTGAGCCCAGCAGAGGCAGGCAGCACTTCATCATCCAGACACCGGCGCTAGAATAAACTGATGTAAGTGAAAACAAGCACACGGAGATGCTACTCACTAATTTCACATTGGTCTCCTTCATAGCCCGAAGGACAAATGCATTTTCCCAGATAGAAACACGTTCCTCCATTGAAACAGGTTGCTGTACAGTTTGCTGAAACAAACAAAACAGGAATGAACTAAGTCACTAACACGAATTCAGTCTGACTTGGCCTTATTGTGTTCTGCTGCTCATCGTAAATAAACACTGAGTAGGTTTAAAAAAGTTGCACCAACGTCTTTACATGTGGTTTACAAAGGAAGACTGCAATGCGTTTTTTCCTACGTAATGCTTTACACGGGCATACACACAAGTCAATATAGAGAGAGACACGTGAGCAATACAGCAACGAGATCCGCAAGGACAGACTGTTACATCTTCATCATCCTCACACGTAAAGCACGTTGAAGGATGAAGTCACTTTTCCTACTGAAACTGCCAGTGTCTGATAGAAGGAGCAGAACCTAGGACTGGAAGTTACTTCTAGAAGAAGACGCTTCGCTACAGTTCTTACTTAAGGCTTTGACTAGAAAGAAACCTTTATAAGCTTTTGCTGCGTGGTGGCATAGATGCAAATGCTGTGTCTCTCACCTATCAAATTACTCGCACTGTGTTAGACGTATTTCACCACACAGCCAGGATTCATGTTAATTTTTCAAGACATTGGGAGCATTTCATTACAGTGCATTTTTGAAACATTTTTTTAAACTCGGTAAAAATCTCATCAAGGACCAGATACAAGTCAGAAGGACGCTGACAACAACAGTTTGTGCAAGCATATTCTAATGACTTAGGAAGGTTCCCATTATTTTGCTGGACAGTCCACTAGCATCTTCTGCATTTAGTCTTTATTTCTTAAAGTCCTGCAACAATAAATGCAATGTGATGTTCTGTAATCTGCTCTGCCATGAGCAGGCGAGTTCTATTTCTGCAGGAAACTACTTTTTTTTTTTCTGTGTGGTAGCTTGGACTCTTCCAAATTAGTTCTGAACAACTGATTGTTCCTTTTTATCCTTCCTGAGCCACAATGCAGCAACAAAAAATGAATAGCTTGCTTACTTTTTCATGTGTCCCGATGCAGCAAATTAATGTACTAAATAATTAGGAAAACTAATTTTACTCCAGGAAAGTAGAGTTCAACTAGAGATAATTTTTTTTTTTCCCTAGGCCAGAAATATAAGTGAATTTTGTGGTAGGTCTCACAGCTTTCAGTTGATCAACTAAAGCGATTACCTAAATTACCCTTCACAGAGCTGACGTATATGGATGTCAGCACACTCAGATGCGAAAACACTTCCAACAGCTCCCAGGTTGTGCTAGAGCATCTACTGGAAGAATCACAAAACTTTTAAAACTCACTTACTTCATCCCTTGCCTGACTTTCCTGAATCCACTCCTAGAGGGAAACTAACACAGGGGAACGGAGGCTGCCGGGCACAGAGCTCGGGGGGGTTAGCCAGCAGTTACCTTTGTCACAGTTGATGCCGTAGAAGCCCGGGGGGCAGATGCAGAGGCCGGGTGTGATGCAGAGCCCACCGTTCATGCAGCGAGGAGCACACAGCGCTGAGGAGCAGGAAGAACAGAAAAAAACATCGCTGCTGTGATAGCAGCTGTCTGTCTGAACACGCAGCACACTGTCTCCTTAAGCTACTTTTCCTTCTTCTGAATGTAAGTCACCTTCGCAAAGCACCTTTGTAACTGGGTCAAATCAATTACATCTCTGGTTTGTATCTGGCAATTTGTAGACAGCATTACTGAAATAGATTAAATTAAGTTCAAATCTGGCTCCATATGTAGGCAGAAATTGCCTCTTGTACAGTTCTATTCCAAACTGGGGAGAGCAAAGCACCCACCTACACCCTCCGGACGTGTGAATTCTCCCCCCTCTCCATAACTGGACTGTGGTGCTGCAGCTGGTGCTGCAGCTCTGCAGACAGGAGTGTCTCTTTAGGGGCTGCACTCAGAGGTGTCAGCAATTCAGCAGGGTTCCCCAGCAGGCTTTACAAGGAACCCTCCCTTCTCCCTCTGTATACCCGAGCATTAGCAGGATGCCTAGTTTAGGCTAGGGGAGCCTGTTGTGTGGCCTGGTTTGGTGGCCAAACTGTCCTGCATGCTCCTTGCGAGCCTTCTCCAGAGCCCCCGTGCTCCGCAGTTGTGGCCACCCCACGAGGCTCTTCCAGGGAGGCACGTCAGACGGCAATGCTTCACTTTGTGGTTGCCCACAGTTGGTACATGCAGTGAGCCTCCGTCTCTACTAGTGAGCTGAACAGCACCCAGGCATGGGACCAAGAGGGGGCACAGTGTCATCCATCTTGTGAAATTGTTGGTGCTATTGTTGGCATGGCTTTGTCCCCAGTCAAGCAGCATGGCCCCGGGGTGAGCAGCGGCCACACGCTCCTCCCCGCAGGGAGTCTGAAAGGCAGTTTTTTGGAGGGTAAGAGAGTTTATGAAGCACATGAATGCAAACTGCACCGTCCCAGCTGGCCTCCAGGCCAGAGAGCTCATCCTTTGTACTTCCTGTTTCAGATCTAGCCAGAGTGTCTGGGAGCTGAGTGAAGGATGTCATTAGAATAGGATGCCCATGGGGACAGTTTGCTCCATCTCAAGTCACCCTGGGGAGGGTCTGCCACTGGGGGAGGTGAAGGAAGAGACAGGAAGAAGAGCTCGTTTCCTCACCAAGTCACTCAATTGCTTGGTCCGCCACTCCTGGAAATGTCATTTGGGGCTATTAGTCACTAATGGAAAGGAAAAGGAGACTCTTTCCTCCATCTTCCCATCTTCGTTGTCTGCATGCCTCCAAATTAGATCTTATCTCCAAATGTGATATTATCTCCAAATAAACAAACGCAGAACAATAAAAGTCCTGTGCTTTGTTTCCCAGCTAGTCCTCATCAGCAGAAGAATTTATTTAATCTTTTACCAGATGGATTCCCTGTGATTAAGGATCACTGAACTATTGTGTCAGTTTTTGTTAAAAGCCATCTTCTGGAGAGAAAACATCTTTCTTGTAAGCAATCAATGTTTCCATTAGACCATGGATGATGACAGTAACTCACTTACATGTGTGGACTAAAAATATATGTAATCTTCAGAACAGGTCATTCTTTTAGGAGAGGCTACAATGCAGTAGTTACAGTTTTGTTTAGATAATGGTAAAGAAGACAATTCAGATGATTTTTTTTTTTAAATTACCTTTCTCACAGTGAGGCCCGTAAAATCCATCTGGACATTCACAGACATGTCTTTCATTGCAAACCCCTCCATTTCTGCATCCTCCAGGACACTCCGCTTCATAAAATACAATGACAATCTTAATTGGATATTACATACTTCAGCTGTCAGCCAATTTTCGGTAGGATCAATGTATTGCTCTGACACCACAGTAAAAATACTTGCTGACAGACAGGCAAACACTGGTAGAAATGGAAGTTCAGTGAAGACCTCCTCAAGAGAAATTAGTTTCTTTTTCGCTAGTCTACAAATAGAGATTTTCATCACGTGTTCAGACTAACGCACAACGTGCTTGTCGACAGCCTGTGCATCTCCATCGCTCTGCTGTTCTGTAGGTGCATGAGCAACGTGGATGCTCTGCTAATTCCTGCCCTTCCTCCTTCACGTGGCAACGAGCAGGTGGTGCAGGACCTGCATCACTGGTTAGACCTGCCCTCAGCATGCAGGACCAGTTTCAGGTTCTGCAGCCTTAAGTAGACTGTGCCAAAACTTGCATTGCATCAATTGCTACATCTGTTACTATCCAGGTGACAACGTGATGAAATCTATATTCGAATGAAAAGAGGCAGCTTCAAGGCTAGAGGAAACCCAATTCATTCACAACTACTGATCAAACACTGGTTAAAGCATTTGGCAACACTGGCAGCATTATGCAAGGCTGAGAAATGCCTCCAGGTACCATCACCACCCTCAAAACACAGGAGTCCATCCAACAAGAGACAAAACAAACTGAATCCTGTGGAACCCCAAGAGAACATGACTGCTGAGTAGAAAAACAATTGCTCAAAAATAGCTTCCTAGATCTCTCACAGAGAACAAGGCAGGCAGGAGAGGCTGCCTACTCCCACTAGAAACACCTGTGAACAGTGGTACCAGGGCCACCAGGCAGCTTTAGCACAGTAAGCATGACCTGCTCATCTTGATGCTACGCTGCATGACATCCCAAGTGAGAAGGTCCAAAAAATGCTGAGGTAGGCCAAAACTCAGAGAGGAATCTTATTTCAACAGTCTCAACCCAAACTTGAAAGTCATCTATTAGACAGCAATTGGCTGCAATGTTGGCATCACGTCTTTTTTTTTCCTTGAGTGTAACAGTGCTGTAAAGATCGTGGCTGACAACACTTGCCAACAGCATCCTTACTTCTCCATTGCCTCCTGATTTCATCAGGAAGTGCTGGCACCTATCAGCCATAGGCTGCAACCATGTACCATTGAGTCACACTGATTCCCAGCTGAATAACACCTGAGTTCAAATTCAAGCAGTTACAGACTTTAAAGTGCACTTGTTTAAAGTGGTAAGGAGTAGCAGGACGTCTATAAATTCAGGAGGGTCAGGTTGCCTGAGACATTTTTGCAGCCCACAGAGATTATTTAAACTGTAACTCCTATTGATACAGAGGAAAACATAACCCTGGACTTAAACACATTAGAGTGATTCTCCCTTCTTCTAACATTTGAGTCAGGTGACATATCTGTTAGTTAGACTCATACACAAATAAACTTCTGTTTTTAAAAATTTATCTAATAGCTGGTTAGAGCCACAGCAAACAATGGCTGCTGTGACTATGAGGAGTATTCTGCTGCACTCACATTATAGTTCTCTATTTAGCGGTATGCGAAGGGTAACTCTGAGACTAAGCAAAAGGACAGAAAATCTGATGTACCGGTCAGGTGGCCAGATGCCATGTACAACTGCCAAAAAAACAGGAAAGAGAGAGCAGGAAGGGTGTAATTTTAAAAAGCTTTTCCACCCAAGGCCACAGATACATGAAGGAAAAAGTGTTTCTTTAAAAGCAAAGCTGTTTGCAGCAAGTAGTAGTAGTCATAAAGGCTTTTTTTGTCTTACTGTGTTCCAACACTGTACTCTAGGACTTTTTCTGGAAATGCTTCTCTCTTTGTACCCAAACGCAGAGCTGCTATTCATTACAGAAAATGCATGCTTAAAGACATACCATTTCAAACAGAAATATAGGAGCACATAATTTTTTGTGTGGCCATCTCTTAGCCACAAAGCCTCTCCTCTCCCACAAAACTGCTCCCTCACTCCCCTCACTCCCTCTTGCTGGGGCCCTTCTGGATGGCCAAGAATGCCTGGAAACAGCGACCGGGACCCTGGCAGGAGCTCCTCATTGTGAATGGTGTCCTTCAGAGAAGGAAACTCACCCCTACTCTAACACCAACCGGTAAGGACATTCTTGTCCTTCTCAGCAGCTATCCCAAAACACTGCAGTGTCCACCTCCCTGGACAGATGGCAGGAGTGGGAGTTACCCCAGTACACACTGGAAGAGACGAGGTGAGAAAACTCCTTCTCTGCCCACCCCTAGAATCTGGGAAATCGTTCTTGCCTCTCTCAGCTGGCTCCAAGAATGAAGGACCAGGACAACAATCACCCCCAGCTTTCCTGAGAGGCCATATGATGCAATACTGCTAAACTGTTCAGTATTACATCTCATATCAAAGGGGTAAAAACAACAACTAATAGCACAAAAACAGTAACTTGGATGAATGCTACCACTAAACAGAGTTTGGAGCCCTCTCTGTCTAAGGCACATTTTTCCACAGTACAAACCTGTAACTCTGCTTTCCCTATTAGATTAGCCCAGCGCTACTTCCAAAGTTTAAGTTCAGTATCTTTGAACTGACAAGAAAAAGACAGCAAATGTTTTGTGTTTTATTTACATCAGACATCCAACTTCGTACATGAGATCTGACTGATTTTACTTCCACTAGGTCCTCATTTTCCTTCCTGTTTCTTTGCCCACTTCTTCTCCCCTCCTCCACTTTCCCTGGGCTAATTGGCAGCAGCAAGCCTTCAAAGGAGACAAGCAGCTTTCCTATTTAGGTGTAGTGAGATTTCAAAGAATAAGCAGCTCCTGCTCCTGCTGTTCGCTCTTTGAAGCCACACTACAGCCAACTAGCTCAAAGAAAAGAGCAAGAAAGTGTGGGACTGGGAATGAGGATTTAATAGGAGAAAAATAAAAATCTCACTCTTTGTACTTCAGCCCTGTCATGGGTTAATTCGATACAACTGCACACTGCGTGGGATAACTGCCTTATCTCAGATATTGATTTTTCAATTTCCACAGCCTCAGTTTAAATTGATAATTATAGTTGTTTGTAGTGTATCAAATTAATCCAGACAGTCTTGTTATATAGTGTTTATGGTTCATAGACTGGTTGAGTAAACAGTTTCTCTCCTTTCCAAGTATTCCAACACTGCAATAACTTTATGGCGCCCTTCTTCTGCCAGTGCATCCTGTGTGTGTTTACTGCTTGATGACTGCAGGTATTGAGGACCAGCTTCCACTGCCTCACCTGTATCCAAAACCAAGAGGCTGCTATCTGAGCTCCAGAGAAGGTAAAGCCAACTTTTGCAGAAATTTTCTGATTTAGGATTTTTGCATTCAGTTTGGATGTGCAAGTTGAGATTTAAGGAACTCTTGAACTAAGGCATCAAACAATACTAACTGAACTCAGTGTCGTGTCCCTTCTACAGACCCCAGAAGTTCAGTTGTCCAAATTATGTGCCATTTCTGGAAATGTTAGCCTCAGCTTGTTTGCACATGACTAGCTCACCTCCAAGCACCTCAAATCATTGGCTAACACGTGCTTCTCATACGATACGTTTCTATCAACATCCTTGACGTGACGAACAGGAGGGGAAATGCCTCCAACCCGGTCTGCTAAGAGAGACGGAGTTGACAGTAAGAAAAGGGTTAGTAAACATGCAGTAAATGAACAGCAAACCCACTGACAGAGCCAGAACAGCCTGGCATTCACCACCATTGCTACACATTGTGTGATCACTTTATTTCCATCTCCTCTAGTCCTTATCCTCAATGAAACATAAGAAAGTTAGGTGACCTGGTCTAACAGTATTCCAGCATGTTCTCTTCACTGTTACCTTGCTGACAGGTTTTAAAGAAGATGGCGTTTTGAGGGGTCTGGAGAATAATATTGCCTTCTGAATTCATTATGATCACATTCACTTCAAATGCAGCAACTCCATCTTGTTTTCCAAGGCAGGGAAATCCAACCTGAACGACTTAAAGGAGAACACTAACAATAATATTTACATTTACATGGATGTATATCTATATACATATAAAAGCATACATTGAAATACTATAAAATATAGATAATATTTATATTCAAGCTTTAGAGTAATGACATCGATGAAAACCTGTAACACAGTCACACACAGATCACCTCATTCACAGGCGGCTCTGGGACTGTAAGTACAGCAGCACAGGAGATGAGCCTGTGCTCGTTTACTGACATAACCCCAGTAGTCTGCAGCACAGACAGCGATCTTAACACAAACATACTTTTGGCTTGCAGATAAGGCAATTACTCATGTGGAGGTATCTTAGGATATACCAAAACAAGCTGGAAGCCTATACTTAATTTTCTAAGCTGAGTTGATCACCTCTGAGTCTAAATTTTGCAGGCTCTCACACAACTTCTGCAAAAATAACTTACACATTTTGGAAAAAAAGTTACTTTTGATATGTTTTGCTAGTTTGGGTATTGCAATTAATATTTAAATAAAATACTGATTTAATCAAAACTTCCTCCATAAAGTGCTGGCAAGATGGTACACTTGATAAATAGGATTGTGGGTGCAAATAATTAAAAAGAAGAGAGAGACACATTACTCTGACAGAACTTGTTAAGTGTAGCGATATTTGGAGACTGCCTTTCCAGGAAAAGTATTCAAAAGCTTTTGAACTACAAAGAGTTTAAGTAAATAATTAAGGCCAGTAAATCTGGAGTATTTTAATGGGGAAGTAAGCCAAATACTTCAGAGCTAAGGAATGCACCTCTGTGATTGTCACAAGTGATCTTAAATAATCTTCAGATGAAACTATTTTATCTCATTTCTTCAAAATTGGCTCTTCCTAGATGCTTTATAAGTTGGATCCAGCTAATAGAAATTGTTTATTCATTTCTTCTGAAGCTGGCCTGAGATTTCAGAACCACATATTGAGCTAAGAGCCCTACATTTGGTTTGTTTTAAACTGCTTGTTACAAAAAATTTTGCGAGTCATAATCGGGTCCTTTTGTTATTTGTTGCCTTGGTACAGTACAGAATAATTTATTGCTGAAACACATTCTGCTTCTGGTAAGTCCTACAGACTGAAAGGTCTGTTGCAGTTCTCATTATAAAGCAATTTCGTTGCTGAAGCACTTCTTTCACACTGGTCTTTTAAAAGACCATTACAAAAACCATGTAACCATGTGGTAAAAAGGCAGACTCCTACAGTGGATTAAACTCAGTTTAAATGCAGTGAACTTCTTCAACTGTAGTAATCTCCTTACAGCACCAGTGCAGGAAATCAGTGCTTGTGTTAGGATGTGTGTGACTCCGCTGAACAAATTGCTACGGGGAGGAAGATATGGTAGATGTTTAATCATTGCACTATAATCATATCTAGACTTCACTGAATCGGTAGCAAACCTCTGATCTCCCCTGAGATCCGGCCGTAGGCATGAATGCCTAAGGCAAAGACCAGGCATGCATATCTTAGGGCTAAAGTCCAAGCGGACAGGTAAGAAACTCCTTATTCCAGCACTGCCCACCCTCAAAGCATCCAAATTTTTTGATTTCCCATATGTCTGAACTCCAAGGAACACCGAAACGCAGTAAAGGACTCTCCTACGAGCAATAAGCAGCACCTGCATTCTGACAGCTCTGTTGTGCTTCGGAGCTGAAATAAAGTCCCTAAACTCTGCCTGAATCCCTGCTTTTTTATGTCTTTGAATAAGGCTAAGCACGCAGTGACAGCAGTACAGTCAAAAAAAGCACAGAGGAAAAGTAATTTGCATCCAGAACCATGGCCGTGAGCTCCCATGGGCTACAGAAGAGCTGAGCAGGGCTGTGGCAGCAAAAACCTCAGGTCCAGTCCCTGCTTCCCAAATTCAGGATGCAGTTTACATTTGCCCATCACTGGCTAAAAGCAAGGAGAGGGAACCACAGCTCAGGGCTTTACACTGGTAGCCATCATCCTGTCAGCCACAGAACTGCCTCTTGCATGTTTCTACTTCTGCATCCTCTGGAGCGCTTGCACCCAGGGCTGCAGAGCAGAGGGCTCTAGCCAGAGTGAGGAAAATTAAACTAATTTGAAAAGGAACCCAAGGAAACCTACTGATCCATATATAATTTAGTTTTAACTGACAATTAGAATGCTCTCCTGAGATGTGAAAGATGCAGGTCCAATCCTTTTTGTCTCGGAGCTAATGCCTCTTCATTCTGTTCGGGAAAACAAGGTTCACTAAGCTGTCTCCAGCAGAGGTGGGCTAAGAATAGCTCCTGTGCATTTGCCCAAGCCTTCAAGTTTGCCGGCAATTGCTTTGCCCACTTGGCTAACGTGCAAAAGCCACCACCAAAAGCCACCTAGAGTCTCAGGGGTTGGATTGCTTCAGGGCCATCCCTGAACTGCCTACCCCAGCAGACGCAGGCATGCAGGGTCTGCAGAGGAGTGGCAGCCCATGCACAGCTCTGCAGCCCACCGCTCCTCTCTGTCAGAGTGGCAGAGCGAGCATAGATGCTGCTGCACCTGGAGAAGGCACCGTTTTCTCCCACCGAGCCTGGAGAGAGGTTCAGCATGCACGTCTGAACGTGCCAACACCAGCAGCGGAAGGGCGAGGAGGTGTCCTGAGCCCAGCCAGTGGGCTGGGGGACTGCGTGAACCGGACGAGGCAGCACTGGGTTGGCAGCCCCGGTGTGCCAGCTTGCACTGGTGGCACCAGCACGGCGCTGGGCTGGCTGCTGCAGACAGGGACAACAGGGGCCCACTCAGGCAGCTCCTTCTCGGTCATAGGCCACTACATGGCCTCAAGTTGCATCAGGGGAGGTTTGGATTGGATATTAGGAAAACTTTCTTTACTGAGAGAGTGGTCAAGCACTGGAACAGGCTGCCCAGGGAAGTGGTGGAGTCACCATCCCTGGAGGTGATCAAAAAATGTGTAGATGTGGCACTTCAGGACATGGTTTAGCAGGCATAGTGGTGATGGGTTGACCGTTGGACTTCATGATCTTAGAGGTCTTTTCCAACCTGAATGATTCTGTGATTCTGTGATTTCTTCTGGGCACAGACCAGTATCTGGCTTGACATTCCTCAGTGTAATGTTCAAGGCATCAACCACTGCCACTACCAACAACGCCTGAATTCGTTTTGAACTTGCTGACCTCAGTTTGAACCACCAGATGTTTGTAGGCTTTCCCCTGTGCAATAAGCAGCGAGCCTCTTCTCACCGGACAGGCACCCACACACCTCTCAAACATCTTTTGGACAAGCTGAGCAGTCTTAGCTCTTTAAGCTCTCACTGAGAGGCATATTCTCCAGCCTTACCATGTGTCTGGGTGTAACAATACCTGTGTTGTGAGCACTGGATCAGGTAGCAATCGTAGGACCTGGGGATGGGATTTTCAAATGAGTCTAAGGAACCTAAGTGATTTAAATCCAATTTAAATTTGAGGAGAATTTGATACCTCACCTCATTAAGGAAATACTGGGTTACAGACAGTTGAGAGAAGGACAACAAGGCAGCATCCAGTGAGGAACAATTGAGCAGGTTGCAACTCTTAAGGCTGGCAAAGAGAAAAATTAGGGGGGAAATAACAGACACCTACAAAATCATGACTGGCATGGACAGGACCAACAGTATGGATTAACTGCTTTCTCTCCACCAGTACAAGAACTAGTGCTCATCAGATGAAGCTTTCACAGCCAGACTCAAAACAATAGGAGGGGGATCTTCGTGCAGTGGGAGGCAGTGAACTCCTTGCAAAAGTGATTGGAGATACCAGAAGACAATACGGACTCAAGGAAAACCTGGACAAGTACTGGAAAGGGAGATCTGTAACCCATGTGGGGTTATAAAAAAGACAAATCACTTCAGACTCAGGAAATCCTTCAAGCTGAAGCTAGTCAGAGATGAGAGGGTAAACAGAAGTACCACAAATGCCTGGCTGCCTTTTGCTCTTCCACAGGTCTTCTCACGGCCACCATAGTCCGTAAAACAAAACACAGGCTAGGCAGGCCCAAAAGCACTAAGCCATCCTTATGTTTTATTGGTGGTAGGCAAATATCCTCAAAGAATTTTTAAAAGTTCACTGATTTTGACAAGACCACTGGGTTCAGCTACCTCTGAGTAAGACTGAGGACTGTTAATCCTCATCCTTGTTTGCCACTCTCATGTGTAACACAGCTGCCTTTTCTTTTTTACTCCTCTTTAATTGTCTTCAGTGTAATCTTTCAGGCTTTTTCAAGAAATAACTTGCTGCTTTTGAGTTGTTACTAAATATAAGCTTGTGACTGAATTTCTGCTGGCATGCATATGTGTAGAAAAATTAATTCATAATGAAATACATCCAGGCAAACTAGACTACATTTTAGTCAGAACTATTTTGGTAACCCAGAGATTATAGAAATAACGACAAAGTGGCAAACATTCACTACTTTTATAGTATGTATTTATTCAAGGCTACTTACTTAATTTTGGCCCGCTAGCAGGCAGTGTAAAAAAAACCACTATCATACTAGTGTCTCGCTGTTAAATAGTGTACATGCTTCAAATACCATATGTGTACTGATTATCGATCACTGTAAAACACTTGACTCTCTATCATGCCAAACAGGGCTTAAATACAGCTCATAAATACTAAGCGCAGTGGTGCGCTGCACATGTCCCACATAAGGAAACACCATGGACATGCCCGTATTAGTCCTGGAACTGAGCTACCAGTGCTGCAAACAGGGTAAGCCCTTTTTGGCTTTAATCAGACCTCCCATCATGATGGCTAATAGACCTTCTGCTGGAACTGTGAGGTCTCATCTCCCACCTCCCTGCACTTGTAGATGAAGTTTTCCTAAGCACCGTCAGAATGGGGGCATTTAGGTCTAGCCTTTCTAGATAGTTAAAAATTAAAGAAGAAACTAGCTCATATTAGAGGATGCTGAGTGCAGAGCTTCCTGCATATTTCACCTGCTTTAAATGGAGATGGAAATGATGCTTAATAAGAACTTTGCCTTTCTGACTTTTCAGTTACTTTTAAAGTCTTTACTTGCCAAATTATTTGGCTTGCAATTAAATAAATTGCAGCAATTCCTACCATTCTGTGATTTTGTAATTATAATACAAATATCATAGAACTCTTCATCATTTTCAATACCACTCATTCAATCCACACTGAATGGAGAGACCAATCATAAATATTAAATTCCAGGTGCCATAGGGAAAAGCTGTGCTGCAACATTACTTCAAAGCCGTTCTACTACAAGCCGAAAATGGAGGATATCAAACACAAACTTTCAGAATTTATACATTTAAAAAGAGAAGAGAACGAAAGACTGGTCAAAGACGTAAACCTGTATATTAGTGCTCCACCTGCAGCCCCATTCTCTTGTTTCGTTTCTCATTTCTTTTCCATTTTATCCCACACGATCTTAGGTTGGCTAAGGCTGATCATGAAACCATGATCACTAAGACACTACTGTCACCCAGATGTACATTTCTGCCTTTCTGCCAGAGACTACCATGTATTAGCCCTGGAACAGATCACATAAACTGTTATTCATCATCTTCAGATCAAAGTGGATTCGATAACCTCTCATGGAAAGCTTTTTTACTCCACCTGTCTCACTGCATACCACTGTGCTTCTGGAGCACTCACGTTGGCTTGGGTTCAGCCTCTGTTGTAGAGCTACAAGCTCCAGTGAAGGACTAAGAACACACAACCAAAGGAAAAGTGGTAAATGATAATATCCTGAACTAGAACTTGTGTCTTTGAGCTGAACGCCTGACGACAACAGCTGACCCCAGCTGAAAGTAAAATGTCCACTAACTGCAATCTCTGAGAAACAGAGTAATTTGTAACTATTCCTTATAGTGATGAAAGACTTTGTTGTCCAAAAGTTGCACAAATTAAGTACTAGTATTCATGCACATGAATTTTATGCAACAATTTTTCACAAGTTTCTGCTTATTTATCTACACATTAAAGCTTCATGTGACTTGGCTCAGACAAAATGCTCTGCTGTTGTCAGGCAAGGCACTCACAAACTGTTTGGTGTCAAGCATTATGATGAGCATTTCTTTAGCAATAACCTTCAGAACTGCAATTAATAACAAAATATTTAGACTTTACTGCCTGCAGAATATTTTTTACAGGAACATAATCTGTAATATCAACAGCACAAACCTGATGCTTTATGAGGAACTGTTCCAAGCAGAGGGATATTTATAGTCGGATCAGCCATTATGTCTTTATCCAAAGAGCGCAAAGACAGGAACTCATAGAAGTACTCCGCCTATGACAAAATAAATGAAAAATTGATATGTATTTTAATTTCATTTGTGGAAGCAAACTATTTAGCATATAAACTACAGCAGAAAAATACTACACTTTTCATTATGCCATTCACTGTATTGGTTTCTGTTATTTCACTGAGTGCTTCTTCATCTAAATATACTTTTCAGATAATTTCTCCTTGTTTCAGAGATTGCAAGTGACCATACAGTAATCAGGACGCAGCGTAACAACAAGGAAAATGGCATGCATACAATGAACAAATGTTATACAGAGAATACATTTTTTACAACCCGCTCCTTTTATCTGGCAGACCATGAAAATGTATGAATGCTAGGCTATTTCTGAAAGCTGTTTTTTGGGCGGAATCCTCACTGACTGGTGAGCCTGAATGATGGTATGTGCCTGCACCACGAGTGATGTTTCAAGGACAGACCCACGCGCACGATGCAACTGTGGCATGAGAATATCCGAGCTGGCTCTTGGTTGATCTGCACAGCACGGTACGTCGCTTTGGGGAAACAGTGCCAGGTAACAAACAGCCACATTGCTGGAGTGCCGTGCTAGGACACATATCTCGCTTACAGCTCCTACACTGCCTTGTTCAGTCACAGTTCATTAAATTGTTCCAAGGATGGAGCTAGAAGCTCTCTTACAGAGTTGGCTTTATGTCACTCATTATTAACCACAACAGAAATGATTTGTTTTGGTGATCTCCAAAAGGTGTTGGCGTGATTTAAAAACTGCTTTCCACTATCTTCATCCTATTCCCAATATGCACCTGCATAGCAGCACAGATTGGAGGCTTTGGTACTGTCTTCCATTGGACCCTGGCCTCTCTGTTGAGTCATCTGTTCAATATTTCTTCATATTCAACGCAAAGTGACGTCCTGCATCTGCAGTGTAGCTGTACACAACATGTACACCTGAGATGTATGCATCTTAGCAAGTCACTGGAGGCTTCCACTACTGTCAATGGCACAGCTGCAGGTATGCAGAGCAAGTGGAAACAAACCTTTTACCCTAAAGTCTGGGTTCTCATTTATCCTGAAGCATATAAGGGATCACAGGTAATTGCACCTGCTACTCTCAGCAAAGTACCTTAGCATGGGCACTGGCAAAAATGTGTTTTCATCCAGCAGTTCACTGATAGTAGATAGTATTGTTATGTCTGTTTTTTAGCCAAAAAAAGTGAAATAAAGAGAGATTAAAGCCAACATTTTATGAGAACTTTGGACTGATAAATGGTAGTTAGTTTATGTTTACAAGATGGCAGTCAGTGTCCTTAGCCAGAATACTGTCCTTTTTCTCCTGTAATACCCTGGCTTCCCAGCACAAGGAAGACATGGACTTTCAGGAGAGACACCAGTGAAGAGCCACAAAGTGATCAAGGGACTGGAGCGTCTGACATACAGGGAGAGGCTGAAAGCTGGGACCATTCATCCTGGAGAAGGCTGAAGGGGGAACTAATCAATTTGTATAAATAGCTGATAGAGGGGTGTAAACAAGATAGAGCCAGGCTCTGCTTTGTGGTGCCCAGTGACAGGACAGGAGGCAATGGGCACAACACAGAAAACTCTGTCCGAACCTGAGAAAACATGTTTTTACTGTGTGGGTGACTGAGCACTGGCACAGGTTGCCAAAAGAGTTAGTGCAGCCTCCACCAACGAAGATACTCAAAACCCAACTCAACTCAGTCCTGAGTAAACGGCTCTAGGTGACCCTGGCTTGAGCAGAGGGGTGGACTAGATCGTCTCGAGATCAGACTGTCTGGTCTCAGATCAGCCTCAGCCCTTCTGTGATTCTGTGCTCAGCTAACTTGAGCAGAAGCCCTGGTAGTGTGTGAAAGACCATCTCCCTTCAGCTCCTGGTGACACCAGCAAAGCACTCATGAGCTGGGTAGAAAGGTTGTTACGAAATTCCGGATCAGCCCTTGGCAGCACATCCACTCGCTCTGTGGGGACAGCAAGGAGACCCCAAACAGCACGCTGTGGCTGCATTCCGCACAGGCAGTCTTCAGAGGGTGTTGTGTAGGCACGGTGACCTCAGAGGACGACTCGCAGAACAACAGGGAAGGAAGCAAAGAAAGTTTTTTAAGGGTGGGTTACGCACATGGTGTATATGCGGGAGGGAGAGGGGACATGGAGAGAAGCAGTAAAACAGGAGATGAAAACTGAAGTCTGGGGTAATGTTCAAAAGGCTGCTTTTAATTAAAGACATTTTTTCCAATACAATATACCATGCCAAAATATGAAAACAAGCCATAAAGTCAAATTGTGAACATTTCTGTTTTCAAATAAAACTTTGGTTCTGAAAAATAATTATATGTCTCTACACATCTATAAACAGTACAGTGAGTGAGTCAATGGTGTACTGTCTGTTTCTCATTGGTTAGCTTTGATGTTTGGCTATATCTAAACCAGGGTCATAATGGTTTGGGATATTAAAACATTATGTTCTCGCTATTCTAGTAAACAACAACTGGTTACTAGACCAAATAGCTCCACTCCCATATTCCCATTCCAGCCATGCTGTTGTAGCAGGTCAGCTTGTGAGCCAGAGCCCTGATTTGTAGGAAGGGAACTGGAATCCCATTTTCTAGAGTTGAAATGATGCCTAAGGACAAAGACAAAAAGAAAGTTAGCTGTGGGAAAGGGGACCGATTTCTGCTTGAGCCACAATACTCACCGCCTTTCAAGGAAGGAATTCCTCTAACCAGAGTAGAGGTGTGGCAGCAACTAGTGCCTGAGGCAGGAATACATTCTGCTCAGACATTAAAAAGATGGGAAGAGACACTGCACAAGCAACAGGCTGCTCAGGAGGGAAAGCCATGCACTGCACTGGGGTGAGATACCTGCCCTCACCATTTCTGTGCAAAGGTTTGTACATCTGCTGAGCTGACAAAAACTGAACTTCTTAAAATGCTAGTATCTAACAAGACCTGAAACACCTCAGTTAGATCCAGCTAGCACAATTTTAAAGTTAGGAAGCCACGTGCTGCAGAGTATGCTTGCAAATCATGTGTGCTGGACTGGGCTGGTTAAATTTTGATATAAAAATTCTGTTAAAAAATCAGTCTAGAGAGGCTGAGTAGTTTAACTCCTCAAACCTGTGAATCTGAAACAAGATTTGGCTGCCGTGAATCCCATCAATTTGGAAAAAATCTGTCTTGACACAATACCTACATCCAGTCTCCAGTATTTTCCTGCTGTAATTTGAGTTGATTGCCAATTAACTTGCATTAATCATCATGACTGAAACACAAACAACATACTCTCAGCAAATATTTACCATGCTCCAGCCTAGCATGAAATTTAGTCATGATGGTTAATTGAAGAGATAGGTCTGTGCAATTAAAATATTGTCTAGTGACTACCACAATTTGTGCTGTAAGTGATCATTGTGAGTGACCTGGTAGTGAGAACAAAATTTCTTTGGATAGTGTTGAGAGATAAAGGGGAAAACCCCATAATCTATAATCCCTTTTCCATTATAAAAACGTTCTTGTGACTTCTTTTTTTTTTTAAGCCAGCCTATTAACACTCTGGTACGTGAGGGGCAAAATTTGGTACTGAAGCTAAATTTTAGAGGAACGGCATTATCAGAGGTGATGGAGGAAATGGGGTTTGAGATAAATTATTGATCTTTGACAACTGCACACTCTGCATGCACAGTAGACTTTTCAGGTTTGGCTTGACTTCAGAAAGCACCCAAGGAAGAATATGGTTTACTTTTGTGTAAAGACTTTATTTGAGACCCTCAAGGGGTCAAGATACTGAGGCAAGGGCCCCTGCAGACCTTGTGTGAATGGTGTGGGGACTCGGTGCCTTCAGGCAGCAGGTAGCCCGGTGCAGCTGTCATTTAACTGTTCCCCATGTGGGCAAAGCCCTCAGCAAAGGGAGGAAACTTCGTTTTAGGCAAAGGATTCCATGGTCAGGATTAACTTTTATGGACTTTAAATGGCCGTTTTCTATAAATCAGAGGAATTTAAAAGGTTATAAAAACAACGAAGACCTCTAACAAATATTGTAGCAAACATCTGTTGGCAGTTTGGTTTTAACTGATATACACTTAAAATTCTTGCAGAACTCCACTCCTCAGTACAAGATTTGCTGCATTAGAGTTTCACCACTCAGATGCCACGTTTTGCCTACCTTATTATTGTTTCATATTTAATCAAAGCATTCACTGGCATGTGCTTTATGTTTTCTTAATTTTACATGAAAGATGTAGGATTAGAAGTAATGGTAGTACCTGAAACTGAAGCAGAGTAGCTTAAACTGTTGTATGTCACAGCTCAATAACCTAATAAAATATGTAGCCTTTCTAACAAAGAAAAGAGAATGTGTGTTAGCTTTGCAAGTAGATGTAAGAAATTAACTATATTTTCTTCTCGTTATTTTAAAGAGATCAGTGCTGAATGTTCTATTCTGTTATCAATTAAATGACAAACATACCCTTACGCAAATTTTCCACATTTAAAGAAAGAAACTAATCAAAAAAGTTTCCTTTTATCCCAGATCCATGGATATTTCTGGCTATGCACACACTACACAATTCTAGCATGCGCTATCCATAGCAGATGCTCACAGCTGCATATGCCATAAATAAAGTCACAAAGTGAGACAATATATGTGTGTGTTAGGTGTTTACAGCATGGACCATTGCTTCTCCAAGATATTAACTGCATTAGGTCAGAGAAGTTGGTCTGTCTATGTTCCAAGATGAAGCATGAAGCAAAATGAGATGAATTGCAACAAAGAGGAGAAGCTGTAGCCATACGGCACGTACCAGGCTATCAAAGGAGTCTGGCCAGAGCATGAGTATGTATGTCCCAGAGTATAAGTATTTATGTCAGCAGCATATTTTGTTACTGTGGTGCAGTCTAGACACTGCTGTCACGAACAACATAACAATGCCTCCTTGGACAAGTAGACAATAAACTGGTTGCCTACAAGGTTTTACTTTTCTGCTAGGGAAGGTAGCTTTGCCTCA